GCTAACCTTTTACTTTTTTTATGCTTGCAAAACACCTTATTATTTGCTCAAGAAAGAGCTCACAGAACATAATTTGGATTTACTGCCAGTACTATCAAACAACGTCACACATCCTATCTGGAACCTCCAGTAAATTTTGGAGAAGGATGCATGCGTATTAATCTCTACTACAATCACTGACTCTAAACCCAAAGAAGTGATTCCAGTGCCTCCAGAACAGTTGGCTTGCTGTTAAAATGAGAGAGAATATATAAGCTTTTCATCCACACTGGTAGTATGGCAGTCATTCTATTAAAGAAAACCCCATATAAATAGTACTGTCTGTAACACAGAAACGTTACATTAACCAACTAAAGCTAAAACAACTTACCGAAAAAAGATACCACCCATCCTTCAGGTGAACTGAAAACTGCCCACTTAATACAATTTAGAATAAAGTTATGCTAATGCAAGGTTGTATATAGTTCTCCAAAATCAGGCCAGTTGCCTCCACCAGCTTCCTCTCACTTTAAGCTATTAACCTCCCTTTGAATTCAAATTGTCTATTAGTTTTGTATTCCATGTGGCTTTTTTTAGAAGCATTTGTAACAGTTCACCTGTGATATTTAAATATATTATTATGTCCTCCTGCCCATCTGGAAGGAAATTAGCTACCATGAGTGGTGCAACAATGCCATTTTTCTTAATTGGTTTTCAAGTGCAAATTCTAGGAACTACTGTTAGAGGTACGTGCAAAGAAAATAAAAAATGAGTTGACAGTGTTACAATTAAATCAATGGTATGAGTGATGAGCTGGATTGATATTGCACTAATTGCAATAATTAACTCTACATACTTCTGACTCTGACTCTTCATGTGATGCTGCTCTCCTGTATCGGACTTTACTTCCATTTCTTGAATCTTGTCCTGCTTCCTTTTCTTCAAGTTTAGCTTTTGTCTTCCCTTTCTTCATAAGAAAATTATCTACTACCCAGAACATTAATGCCTGTTAAAGAGAAGGGGGAAATGACAGTTCAGTTTTTCTTGGAGTAGCATATGTTCATTCACTCAGTATTTGGACAGAATTAGGAAAACTTGACTATAATTTTGAATTGGCCAAACAGGTAAAATCTTGTGTAGGCATACAGTCACATGGCTTACTACACAATGCATGAATGCTCTAGAACATAGCTACTTTATTCCTTTGTAGAAGAAAGTAAGAAAAGTAGCTGCTATTCAGAGTGATCATATATTAACTCTTCATGTAGAAACGTGAACAGTTTAGGCAGACATCTTAGTGCAACAGACTTTTGTTTCTCAAAGGATAAAATCCATGCTTGAACAAATTAATGAAAGAAAAAAAATCACCAGCAGTTATTAAATGCAAGGACACCCGCCACCTCTGGCTCTAGTCCCTAAATCCCAGATTACTGGAAGAGTATACTTTGGGAAGGATGATTGCGCACTTGCCCTTTTCCTCTGCTCCATCATAGGCCAGCCACTATTAGCTATGGTCAGACACAGGATACTTCGCAGTACAGCTATCCTTAGACCAACTGTTTCCTAAAGCAAATTTCATTGTAATTTTATAATGTCTATGTCAGTATTTCAGTATTACATTCAGTCTACTGAAGTCATCAGCCCAAAGAGGTCTGAGAGGCATTTCTGCACCTCTCCTGAGCCTAGTTACTTAGCTCACTAAGATTTCAGCTTTGTAAAATCTACATATCCAGACATTTTATCCATTCTTTAACACCCTTCTTTAAAAATTAACTTAAGCACCAAGGTACACTGTGCTTTAAGGACTAACGTTAATTAATTAACACATGGCAGAAAGATATCCAAGTAAACATCTCACAGAAGCGTGCAAGTTTTACTAACATTAACAACAAAGGGAACTATCAGCATGACGATGGCCAGCTCCAACTGGGGGTTCTCTATAGGATTCAATAAAGCCACCTGTAAAAAGAGAAAGATTAAGTTCAGATCATGGCAGCACGTGCACATAACTGGATTAGTAAGTGCAATTGTTCATGTACTAGCTAACACCACAGAAATAATTCATATGAATCAAAAAAGGACAGCTTTGTAGAAAAGGAAAGTACTTAGGACAGCTTATAAATTACTACAGATAAGTAAGCGGGGCTGGCAAGAAACTGATCTCTGTCGTTTTTGTTTACAAAAGTCTGAAGAGCTGTGTTAGAATCATCTTGAACATTTTAGAGCTCCATGCTCCCCAGGAACATGTTTTAAGTTCCATCTTTAGGAAACTTAAACAGACCAGCATTTCACAAAAGACACAGTAAGGAGAAGACAGAGTTCCCAGAGTAGTCCAGAGCATAAAATAGGGACTAACTGGTTTTAATGGGCTGTAAGACCACGCACCACCACTTTGAATATTACGTTGCACAGATTCTATCAAAATAAATATTTATCCAGTCATCAGCAATGGCTTCACATTGTTTCCATTTGCAATTGCTTCCATTGCAAATTACTAAAATTCTACAGTTTAAGATCTATCAACAAGGTCAGACAAAGAAAATTCTTTATAATACTACAAGAAGCAATACAAAATAGCTTTAAGTGTTAAAGAATTAAGAAAAGGAAGAACCACTTAGTAGCTTCAAGAGTACTCAGACAAGGAGACAGAATAAAATTTTATATATTGCATTATATAAAAAACCCTCCAAAATCTGATAGGATATTCCTGGAAATGGATGCCAGAAAGCCTAATTAGCAGTATCCTAATAAAGCTAAAAGAACATACCACACCAGAGAGTTAAATGGCATTGACTGTAGACAGTTATGATGCTTGAGCCAAACCAATAAACACTGTTAGAAGTCTATTGCTTTACAGCTTCCACCTGAAATTCATTTGCCTGTAAAATGCTGCAAAAATACAAACCTCTTTCCACTGAGGTATAAGAAGCACTATAATGATGATGGTTTTCTCAAATGTCATAATCATTATGTACAGAGCACATTGGCCCACCCAAGCACGGCACTGCACTGGGTCACCTGCAGGGAAGAAGAAAGATTCAGTATATCATAGGGTTGATTTTACTTCACAGTAAACATTTTAGAAAAGCAGTATTAGAAGAGGCAGGGCAGCTATATCCTCTTAAAGTGCCTTCTCCAACTTCCCTAGTGCTGCTCCTTCCCCTCCCTCAGCCTCACCCCAACTTTCAAAAAGCATCAGTTAGAAACCAAATATAACAGGACTATCCGATTCAGCAATACCTGGTTTATACACTCACTGTTTTATATAATCTGATGAAAGCAAAACAGATATAGTTGCATTACATTTGTTTCTCATCAAATTGTTATTTTTGACCCTCTATCATGAAGTATTAAGTTTCTTAAAAGGGAAAACTTAAGGGAAACATAGCTGGGGAAAAACATCATCTGCTTAGGCTGAGGGGAAAACGTGATGATTTCTGCCATTCTCCCTTAAACATATTTTTCCTCTCTACAAAGTTAGTTACCATTAACTAGCCAATCATAACTGAAGCAACAGGTGCAAAAGCTGCTATGAAAAATTTAATTGAACAAAATATTAAGATCACATTTTAGTTGCCATCTGAAAGGGTTTGAAATTCTGCTGCACCCCATCGTGGCAGAGTGAAAACCTGAGTGCATTACGTTATCTGCCATAACAGAATGAAGACCACAAATATTTGAACATGAAAACTTATGTAGACTAATAATACTCTATGAAAGCAAGGAGAGAAAAAAAGAAAAAAAAAAGAAAAAAGGGAAAAAGAGGACTGGTATGCCTAACAAGCTTTGCAGGTGAGCTTAAAGCAGCACTTCACTGGAAACCAAAAGGAAGCTTTGGAGGGGGGTGTTAGCTCTTTAGTCTTCACGATAGTCTTCTGCAACATCTTCAAAGGCAGCTTAAAACTTTTAGCCTGGGGATGAATAATGGGCAGTGGAAATTCAGATGCCTTTATGTATTTGTAATGCATAATGGATAGTTGCTACTTCCTTTTCTGGAACGTTTCTGAAAGGCTTTCAGTATTAACACTTGGTAATAGTCTTGAGACTTACTGTTTACTGTTTAAATGCTACAAAGAGAAATTGATAAATTAGACTGGAGTCCAAAACAAAGAAAACTTCCTAAACAAGTTTTACAGTAAGAGCTAGTATCAACACTCAATAGTCCAAGACGAAAATGGTTAAAATGCTCAAGTTTTACACTTATATACTACAGTTTATGGCTTCTGTTGTAAAAAAAAAAAAGTTAGAAAATTTGAAAGGGGAAACACCAGTAATTCAAAGTTGAACACCCGTGATTCTTCTGAAGATACAAGGCCTGAATTAAATTTTAGCAATTAATTTCTATACTCCACATTTTTATTAGCATTCTTTAGTTTTCATTAACTAGCAAATATGAAAAAAAAAATCTAGCTTTAGCTACAGACTTACCATTGAAACTTTACCAGTTTATTCTAAGATCTTTTCCAATCTGTATTTAATTCCTAAAAGCAGACAGCTATAGCAATTTTGCATGTATTTCAACTCTGTCACGTGAAATTTTGTATGTCCAAAAATTGTGAAACTCTGTATTAAGAGTGCTGTGTGCTATCACCGATGAACATTTTGTTCCATGACGTTTTTGCGGGGGGGGGGGGCTGTTTTTTGGGGGTTTTTTTTTGGGTACATGACTGAAATGAGAAGTTGTGTATACTAAATTCTATTTGAGGATTTTTGTGTGCCCTGATGCATCTACAAAATTATGTCTCAGCTCTAATTACAAGTGGGAATAACAAGGATGCTGTCTACTTTTAATTTACCAAGTCTCTTGACAGTATCCCAATAGTATCCTTGTGGAGAAGTTGGGGAGATATAGACTGGATGGGTGGACATACAATTCTGACATAAAGGAAAAAAGCTTTCACCATGAGAGTGGTTAAGCACTGGAGTATGTTTTTCAGCAGGGTTCTTAAATCTCAAACCATGAATAAATTAAAAACTGGTCTGGACCGAGCCCTGAACAACAAAGCTTTAGCTCAAACTCTGCTTTGAGCAAGAGGTTGGATTATATCACCTCTGGAGAGCCTTTCCAACCAATTTTTTTTCTACGATTTTATAAACTATGCAATTCAAGGGAAAAATTAGAAGTTAACATCACCACATCCAGGAGGTGTTCCCAAGAATATCTGGGACATTTGTACATTCAAAGATTCGGTACACAAACTCAAATTAGAACTTTAAAGTTAACATTGAAGCCATAAAGCTCTAATTTCATTTCTAAAGTCTCTGACAGCCTCTCTTGAATTCTGATTTTATACCTGTCATGTATAAATTACATGTTTAGAATAAACTAGCAAATCAGTAGAAATCCTGTTACTGCAAGAAAAGCGCATTAAGACTGAAACTGAAAAATTTTGAATCCTCAGCAGTAACAACTGTAGCAGCGTTTTTTGAAAATGCTGGGCAATGAAAAACTGGTCTATACTAGTGTATGCTACTTTCGTCAGCCACTTTGTAGAATCACGTTTATAGACAAAATACCTGTGATTCCTCTATCCCATAACTTCTCTCTGTTCTTCAAATCCTGAGAAATTTTCTTAAGAAAATGCCAACTCACAGAACGACTTCAAAAGAAATTTTAAAAAGTTTTCAAGTAAGTGCTATCTACCCTATATGGCTATAAGTAAGTTGCTCTGCAAGTTGCAAAGAGCTAGAGGGAAAAGATGCATCAAATACAATTTCTAAGCTTTGCCATCTGAAAAGCAAAGACAAGCAAAGAGGCCACAGCACGAGTCAGTTGCCAACAGAGTTCATTGTCACCAAGAGGGATTTAGACACCTGTCTTCCACTCACAGCAGCTAAAGTAGCCTAAGACAAGAAGGGAAGGAGAATGCAGGGAACATTCTTTTCAGTACAGATCATGACTGCTTTTCTCCTCTTCACATACTCAAATATATTAACTGATTCTGCTCTTCTATTAAAACCCAGCTGCTGAGGTAATGAGTCTGAAAATACAAAACTGGAAATACGAAGACAAATCTAATAAACTTAAAAATTCTGACATAAAAAAAAAGCCCTTGAGGGAGCGTCATGCTACTTTGTTCGTAAATCAGCGTGCAGTGCTGTTTTGCTGTATAAACAGCAACCATTTATGAATGCTGATATTTTGGTATCCATTCTGTCCTTGAGGCATTTATGCTTAAAAACTATCCTCCATATAAAGAAGAGGCTTTTAAAACCAGCAAACCAGCAGGAGACTGCTATTTTTTGTGACAGCTTCAAGTAATGAATCACCAGGGATCAAGTAATAGAGCTAAGAAGGGAAATGAGCTCACAGTGAGAATTAACTTGAGACAAATGGTTATTTAGGCTCTAGAAACACAAACAACATCACTCAGTCAAACAAAGAGACTTGGTTGGGGAGGGGGGCTCTTGTCTGTTTTCCCACACTTGAAAACAAACTGAAGTCACGCTGATCTCCAAGCTGAGGACTTGACTTTACTACTTCAGATAAAATGCCACAAGCCGAAACACACTTGCGACCCCACAGGACTGCATTTTAGTCCCCTCTTCTACCCTACTTTAATTATTTTAAAGAATCTTATGAAAAATAAGACAAGACTTTTCTTGGGGCCAAAGTGAAAAATTTTAAATACAATGGTGATACAAGGGTTTTCACTTCAGAAACAAGACTAGTACTTAACAAAAGAGGGCAGCAAACAATCCAGTGCAACTTGTCCTTTTTAGACAGATTTGTTACATAGGGTCTAACCTTACTGCACAGCCATTACTAATAACTTTCCATCTGCTATCTAGACCTCTTTATAGCAGAAGCCTCTCCCACGATTAATGGAAACACAGATTTACAATATGCTTTTTAATAGTCCTTACGATAGCTTGATTAAAAACAAACACGCTAAGGTCAGGACAGCACATTTATGAAGATACAGAAAAGAAAGTTAGTCACTAATGAAATGATCTGATATTGATCTAAGAACTAAGTAAAGAGGACTTACATAATTTCATACTTCGCTTACACACACACAGAAGAAATACTCATAACCAAGTTTAGGCATTTCAGATCCAACTCAAAATGACAACAATGGATCAGTCACAGACCACCTCCGCAGCACAACACAAGTAACAAGTTCATTTGTTGATTTTAAGAGCTGAGTTACTGCAGTCACAGATGCCTCATAACTAACTAATATAGAAACAGGTTCATTTTGGAAGTCAATAAGAGATAGACACAAATTTCAGGAGACTGACTATATTCCCCACGTCTTCCCATCCACACCGACTGCTTATTGTTAAAAGGACATTAAAATGGGAGAACAAATTACACAAGAAAAAACAGAACGCTATTAGGAAGAAATAAAATCTAGTATTTGACACGATTACAAGTACCTACCTATAATTGTAATAGATACACCAAGCTTTTTGCTCTGAGTGGAAAGCCAATTTTACATGGGCTGAAAGCTGTCCAAACATCTTTAAATGGCTTCAATCCAAATCAACAATCAGAAAAAGGGACTTTGGGCAATAGGTCTCAAAGCTCAGTCAGAAGCTGTTGCTCAGCAATGTCTCAGCTCTTTCCTTGCCCTTTTCCCTTCCCTGTGCATTGGTGCTTACCTAATCCCTTAGAGACCCAAGTATGGGGACTGATCTGGAGGAACTATTTACTTTTCCACATATAGTGAATTTTCTGATGGTTTAGCTCTCTGAATCAGTTCCCTGAAGAGTCAGATGTGCACCAGTCCAAGGAAAAGAGTGGAAATATTGGACCATGACATGAAGTGAAAAAAGCAGATAAACAGGCTTGTGGCAGTGCTGATTTAAACAGCTTAAATGGTCATAAACCGTACCCTAAAAGATACACATTAAATCTACATAAATCTAACACAAAATGCCTTAATGGTATAGGCAGTTATTTCTCTTAAGATAGATGCTTGTCATCATCTCTATTTTAAACCTCTGACATTAAAGTAAATAGCAATTAATGCTATTTGATTTAATTGTAAACTTCCCAAGCTTTTAAAGTACTTCAACTTGGCAAGGCCTTTATTTATTCTTAATTCTGTCAGCCACTTAGGATCATTAAAAACAAAGAAACCTACGAAACCAAAAAACCTACCAATGACAGTTATGAAACTGCTATGAAAGCTTTGACTTTTGTTAGGCAAACATTATTTTAACTTTTTTTCCCCCCAAACCATAGGGGTTTTTGTTTGTTTGTTTTTCTCTCTGATGAAGAGCCACAGCTCTCTTGTAAGGCAACCTCTCCCCCCATTCCTATCTCAAGGAGCTTCAAATGTAATTTTTAGCATCTATAGAGAACTTCCATTCCCAACCAGCCAGACTAAGCAATCTGAAAAATAACAGGTTGAACAGAATTAATGTTGATGGCGAGTATGTATGATACTCAACTGCGTCTGCAAATCCACAATTTCTGCAGATCAGTGGACTTCTGTGGCTAACGTAATGGAAGATATAAAACCCACAACTTCACGTGAAAGTGATTTCACTAGTCTATCCCTTAGCCTGTACGAAAGACACATGCATTTTTCATCAATGATACAAGCCCTACGTGCAGGAGTTCCAGTGATCATTACTTGAGGACAAGCACAGGCCATCTTGCCATTCTCTTCACTGAAGGTATGTGGTTGTTTACTTTAAAGAGGGCTGGCAGAACTCTTAGCTCGTATCTTCAGACAGCGGCATGTGGTTCAGTGAAAGCTTTAATAGGAAATGACCTTCCAGCTATCATTTATTTGAAAGTGTTTCAGAGGAAATTTATCATGCTGTTATTTTTTCCATGAGGTTAGCCAATATCATAATTTGTTCAATTGCTCCTAAAAAAAAAAAATTCAAGCTGTTGTTCCAAACTCACTAAATGCTTAGAGACTTGTTGAGCTTTCTAACACAGAAGGGGCATGCTGAGATACAGAACTTAAAAGAACCCTCTTGACAAGTGAAATATTAAAATGACCACTATAATCTTGTATAATGATTTTAAGATGGAGTTAACCACTAGCTGAAATATTCTGAGATTCTATCCTGAAAATCATTTCAGTGCAAGAACAGAAACATTTACCATATTCACCAAAGCGAAGGGACTCCCACTGCTGCCATTCCACAATGCTGCTGACTGCACGAATACCAATGTAGATTAACAGCATTCCTAATGTGGCATCTAACAAGAAGTTGATAAGGTACCTGAAAGGAAAAATGTAAAAAAAAAAGAACAAGGAGCAAGGGTCCATCTTCTACAGTGTATTTTAACACCACGATTGATAAAAGATCTGTATATATGTTGAGAAGCCAGAGTATTGAGAATAATCTTTTACCCACATCTGTAATTACACAGTTAGCCTAAAACTTAAATAGTTTTAGAAACCTCAATATTTTGTTTCTGTCCTTAAAGTTAAGCTCCGACTTCTATTTTTGTGAATTCTGGTGTGTGTATGTGCATACTCTGTATAAACTCCAATATTAATTTTACTCCTTTAAATTAAAACCAGATTTTCTTTTTACCATTGCTCAATTCATTCTGCATGGAAAACCTGTATGTGAATAAAGCCAAAGGAATAAAAGGAAAAGGAATAAGAAGAGAAGTTATCTTAAAGACATCTCAAGGAATTTGAAAGTAAAAAACCCAACCCAAACCACTTTCATTCCGAGGGGGAAAGACACCACAACTAGACAGTTTTTCTTGCTCAAGGGAGCCCCCTCCTAGCCTCAAGAAGGAGAAATGAGCAGTGGAATACCATGCCTAGAGAGTACAGTCACTATCTAGGTCAAATTTCAAGTTAGTTAGTGTTAGGAAGAAAAGTGATTTACTTTCTTGCACTTCAGTTCTTGTCCAATAAACATTTGAAATAATCAGGAACAAGCCTTCCCAGAAAAAAAAAACAACAAACCAAACCACCCCTCAATGGACACACCAACTGCTGCACTAATAATTTTATTGTTTCAAGAAAAGCTTCTGGGATCTTACCTATGCTTCAAGAAACTAAAGATTACTATGGGTTTCAAATTAATTCTTAGGTTCATTAAACAGTAGAGCTGAAATTCAGAGCATTTTGTAAGTCAGTTTGGTTTATATATGATCACCGATTTTAGCTGAACAAACCAGCAGCTGAGAAAGAGTCAGCTGTAAGACACATAGTAAATCCGTTACTGAGATTCTTAGTTGGTAATTCAATACTTAAGGTAAACTCTAGAGTCTATAGGAACTTATCTGCAGGGATAAAAATTGTAAATCAGGGACCTGCGGGCTTCTGATGGCTGCAGAGGCAAATCCATGCGGACAAAACAGTATCAGAAAGTGGAAAGCGAAGACAGAATATGTGCATTCAAAACAGTAAAGGAGGAGCTGTTCTGACCCTCAAAATCCCATTCAGGAGCAGCTCAAAAATAAAAAGCGGACACGCCTTGCTTCAGCCAAGACTTACCCATAAACTTTCTAAAGAATACTTATTTTCAAACAGTTGTGTGTCAAATCAGTGTTTTAATGAACTTCGTATTAGACAAACATTAAAATCAATGTTTAGTGTTTGGCAGAGGAAACTCAGCAATTGCAAGTCTACACAAGTCATTTTAAGGCCACAAGGGGCTGCTGTAAGTCTACAGCAGGAAGGCAGCCATCAGGAGCAGGGAGATGTGCCAGCACCTATTTCACATCAAATTACAGCTCACAGCAGAGGCCAAGTATGCCTGATATTCCCAGGCACATCAGGCTCACTACATGTAGGCAACATGCTCTTTCTGTGGTGCACTGCATTAATCCTGCTCACACGTAACCGGTGCACCGGCACAAACAACAAAACAAGTTGCTGCCACTACCAGGTGAATGCATTTGGCTGAGAGTTCAGCAAGTAAAAGGCTGGGGTTCATACAAACTTCCCCATGTACCACATACAGCCAGCTGAGTACCCTGCACTACAGAAGAGTGCTGTTTGCTTTTTCTATTTAAAATTCTTCAAACAACCACCCATCTGTCGAGGTGTTCTAACAGATGTTTTATCAGCGTTGATATTATCACACACCTGCCTGAATTACAGCACTACATTCCCAAACTAACAAATGGCAACTTCCAATTGTAGTTCCTTCCAAGCTTTGAACCACAATGTTTTCTAAAACTACATTTTCTGGTTTTGTTCTGAAAATAACCCACAAACTACAAAACAGGAAAGAACAGAAAACTACCCATGTTTGAATTTGCCGAGTAAAATTCTTATTAAAGTCACAGACAGAAACGTTGCTTTTACTCACTAATTTTGACCCACTTGCATACTTAAGATGTATTTTTCCCAAGAAAGGACAAGTGGCTTTGGTTAATGCTACATGCTACATGTAGTATTACTCCTACAAGGAGGACCTGCACCCTTGCCTGAGAAATTATACAGCTCCACATCGTAATTTTTGTCATCCTGGGAACAGTAACAGTTCTCTGCCTCACCCTTTTACTTGTTTTGTGTCACGTTACACTTACATGAAAAGTGGTGTTTGAAAATAAAGTTATGTAGACTATACTAAAACATGTAGAAGAGAACGCGCATATTAGCAAACGTTTTATTTTGCAAACTCAGTACACAGCACAGTTATTTTTAATTTTAAAATATTATAATAAACTATTGAGCTTTAGCTTTAAATAGCGACAACTTTAGACATGCTTTGGTTAGCTTACTTGAAGATACACTTTAATATATAAAAATGGAATGAAAGCAATTTGCACCTGCCAGTTTTTAGATCAGGAAACTCTTAAATCAGTAAGCAAGGAAAATCCTACAGTGATGCCTGGTATTATTGGAACTGTCATAATTATGACAAACTTCACAGTCAGTGTGTTAAAATAAATGCATTTTCCCTACCAAAATGATTTCTGGTGGGAAGAGAAAAGCAGTGTTTTACGTGCACATTTACAGCATGTAGGAACACAAAAGAAACCAAGGAGGAATAAGGGAAATAAAACAGGCTTGTGAAGCAACACAAGCATATTCCTTGAGCTGTGTAACTCCTTTGTTTACCAAAGGACAACAGTGAGCAGATGCCATTGACGGAACTGGATTGGTTTTAAAGGGCAAATTACTAAGCTTTTAAAAGTAATTTCACAGCTTCTATTACCAGGAATGTGTAAGCTTCTTTGAGCATGAGCTCTATCAAGAACAAACCCAAACAATTACCATTTGCTTCAGGAGCTCCTGTAAAGAGCCTGACGGGGTCTTAGTCATAAAATCTTCAGGTTTAATATACTACAGTGAAATGCTTATCTACTTAGTCACGCTGCTCCAAGCGTGACATTGCAAAATTAATTTTTGTACTAACTGCCTGGGTACCGAGCAAGATTTCCTGCTTTTAACAAAATGAAAGTAATACTGCAGTAGCTAATGTAGGTTTTCGAAGAAAATACAAGCATGAATGATTTTTGCTAAATATCCCTGAAAGCAACCTGACTTTATATTAAAGCCTTGCTGCAGTGAACAGTGCAGCTGGAGGTCAGTGTACACAACTTTATATTCATTTCCTTTGGTCCCTAGCACCTCCTTCAGTAAACAGCCCCATATTACAATGTGCATCCTAAGTCCTCATTCATTAACTGGAGAGGCAGTAGTAGTAAGAGGTTACCTTTGGTCTCAAATATCTATATACAGCCCAGAAAAAGCTCTCCCGGGTCCTGCCAGCCATGAACTAGAAGAGCAGAACTCCGATCCGTGATTAACTAAGCTTAAACCACAGGTTTTTGAGAGTGATTGATTTCTACTATGAAAATTGGTTTCTTGGCTGTATCATATCTTGCATTATCGTCCACATACACCATCAAACTCAACTGCAGAACTTCCATAAAGACCAATTATTCTGAAATTAAACACTCACAGTGAACAAGGGTCTTCTTCTGTAAGGTCTGATAAATAGACATTTGCAAAGTGGATGAACAACATTCCTATGGCTTGCTTGGAAGTATCTAAAAACCTGTATAAAGTAAAAACAGTTTTTAAGACACACAAAACTGTTTACAACACAGTCGGACATTGCAAATTTATTTAATTAAAATTCCATCTCAATTACTCATTTTTTCTTCAAATGAGAACACCGGAATGATTAAGTGTCATGGTATTTAGCTTATTTAACAATGTTCCATTTTAAATTCTGCCCCCTTTTTTCTTGAATATTGCTAACAATAAATCAAATCATGCTAACTTGAAACCTCACCACTGTAAATTTAAAGTCTAGGGACATCCCCTCTTGGTATCATATGCATTATCCAAGAGCTAATCCTCACTAAACCTAGCTAAGTCTTTAATAACCTCCTGTAAACAATGAGTATCCCAGCCTCGCTAGATATTTCAGTCCTTTTATGTTTATGTATTTTTAGCAAGTTTATGGCACAGACAAAAGTAAAATCCTCATCATGGGCTTGTTGGTGAACAATTTAATAGCTGGCTAATGATTCCTTTATCTATAATATTTTGCTAAAAAGCCAACATATTTTTCACCTAAAAGCATGAAGTGGTCTCACTGACTTACATCTAAAGTACAACAGCTTAGACCACACTGCAAAAGAATTACAAACTTGAAAGCATTATCTCCAAAGCAGATGACAGAGTTAGAGAGAAAATAGTTTGCTACTTACAGGGAAAATAGAAAAAAACCACACTTGGGTACTGATTCAGTATTGGTCCCAGCCCTTACCATTCTTCTATCATCCTTTGCACAAAACCAAAACTTGCAATGGATGTTTTATTAAATGTTAAATACAGGAATCATGTCAGAAGTATTCTGTAGGCAATAGTGTGCCTTTTTTTATACAGACCAACACCCATTTTGCCTGTTGTTTCCATGTCTAAAAAGATCCAAACACCCCAACAGATCCAAACAACACTTTATGCCTGAATTCATCTCCCCTCCCTGACAATTATGTCTTAAACTTTATCCTCTTGCATTCATTGCACGACATAGAAAGCAGAGTGTTGGAGATGAGGCAGGAAGCCAGTGAGTTACTTATCTAATCAGTACAGCATACTATAAATAACAAAACTCAAGTCCCAGAATAAGATTCTTTGCTTAAAAATTAAAGGCTATCTCCACACTACTCAGAATTTCAGGCTGAGGTAGACTGTAGTACACAAAGATTTTGTATTTATTTTTTCAAGAAAATAAAGGTCAGGATTAGTTATGAAAAGCAGCATTGTATGAGATGAATTTAAACCACTGACATCTTCAACAACTGGAACGACAGCTTAACATTTACACCAGCCTCAAAACTAGTACAGGTTATGTTGGCATTGCTACAATCCAACAACTTCTAAAAAGTAATAAACACAAATATACTTTTTATACCTTGTATTCTTTTATGGCTTATGTATTCATATCTTTTACCATACTGTTTTCTATCTTACACACAGTAGGATAGCTACAGAACATGGAATTTTGTTTAAGCCTAGTGAGAGCTTCTCAAAAGCTTATAGATGTTCAGATGCATCTTAGGGCAACTGTAAGTTTCCATCTTCAGGAGGAAGCACAACTTTCAGTTTTATATCTAAATGCACATCTTTGTAAAGATTCCTGGAAGTGTTTAGTAAAAAAGAACTAGCAGGGAAAGATAACACAGAAGATAACTTTTTCTTTGACTCATGTATTGTGTAACTGTTTTTGTTCCTCACTGTCAGTCACCAATTTCTTGTCATCATTTTTCTTTTTTTTTTTTTAGCAAACAATCATTCCTTCAATTTCTAAAACATGCAAGAAACAAAAAAAATATAAGAATAAAACATGCAGAAACATACCATATCCTCCAGGGACGTCTTTCATGCTTTGGTTCTCTGAAGCGTTTTACTAAGAGGAAAAAAAAAAAAAAATTGAAGACAACCAGCAACTCCCAAACCAACAAAAATATAGAAAAGTGAAAGCAAATCATCTTGCAGAAACGTTACATTCTTTGATAAATCAGATCTTACACAACTGCATTTCACTTTATCAATCTCTGAGGATACATTTTTAAAGAAACTGGTTCCCTTCTGTCACCTGCAAGTTTCTACAGATCCATCGTCTGACTGCCAATATACCTCACATGAAAAAAATAATCTATTACCGACCACTATTTCATTGGCCTTAGCTTTTATGACCACCCATCCAGAAAATTTAATTTCCGATAGTAAAGCAGGTATTAGAAAAAGCCATTTCTTTTGCTCACTGGAGACCAAAAGTCAAATTGGAAAGCATTCTCGCAATATAGGGGCAATCTATAATATCAGAAATAAATCAAGTGAATTAGTAACAGGACAAATATATTCTCTGACAAAGTATATTTATTTTATGGATGACGAATTAGACTTTTGTGGGCAAACTGAAGTGCAAGCAGGACAGATTTTTTTAGTCAGATAATCCCTTCACAAAAAGGTTGATACTTGTTAACACTAAAAATTTTAAAAAATCCATTTTAAAAATTAACACCAACCATACAAAGGCAAAAAATAGACAAATCTGACTATTTCAATCTTGACACAGTTTACAATACAAATTGTTTGGGTATCTGATAGAAAGCTCCTCTGCACACCCACAAAGGAGGGCGAGCCTGAATCACACCCTGCCCAGCTAGCCCCAGGTCCATCCCAGGAGCCATCAGCCCATCCCAGGTCCCTCCCCACAAGCCCAGAGGAGCAGAAGCCCGAAGGCAGATGGGGAAATACAAATTATGGACTTGGAGGAAGGGACGGCTGTTCCAGGAGAGCCTCAGCCCCACCAGCCAGGGGTGACACCCATCCTGGGGAGCCGGCTCGAGCATCTTTGGGAGGGAGGTGGTCAGTGCGTCAGGGTACGTACGGGACAGGTATGGGATGCAGAGGAAGAGAATTTTGGGATTGCGCAAGACTTACTATAGGTTGTTTAGGGGAGGAACCAAAGGCGAGGAAAGGGAAGGATCTAGATGACTCATGGAGAAACAAGAGTGGGAAAATAGAGGGATAAGGGGGAAAAACAGTCGCTCATATATAAACAGTGGCTGGTCCATACACTTGAACAGTCTGATCTGCAGCTTGTCCTATCTTCTTAGGAAATTCCATTTCTAACTCTTTCTGGGCAAGAAAACCTTTTTACCTTCTGGGAACACATGCTCAGCCCTGGGGCAGGTAGCCGGGGCTGCCTCGCTTCTGCTGGATCTGGCCTAATTCCGTAACACAGATTTATTTTCTGTTACAGCTGCAAGATACTAATTCTTTATATATTCCAAAGACAGACCAAAGATAACAGGGTAATGGAAAACCTTTCCACTAAGGATGGGTTTTATATATGGGTTTTACGTCCTTCTTCTGTCCAAGGTTCAGTGTCACTCACCAGTTCCTTCAACGTAAGTCTTGAAAAATAATTATTTAGGCTCTTATTTCAGAAATTACCTCTTAAAAAAAAAACACCACAGAAATTTTAAGCCCCGATTCCCCCCTCCCCTTCAACTTGCAGAGATTCTGTCTTAAAAGGCCCAAGCCATAGCATGTATAGGTCAGGCAAAATATCGATAGGTATTTTAACCTGTTTTTCCAGATATTAGCAATGAATTTAAGTTTCAAATAGGATGCTGTATATAAGTTACGCTTACCTAGCTTACAAGCCTTTAGAAAACATTTTGGTTTATGAACCAATCAACTTTTTCACAAGTAAGGCAATTTTCCCCAAAGCCAACTGTCCTCATACAATATGGCATTAATATAATTACCCGAATGCCTTAAAAAAAAAAAAAAGAAAAAGAAAAAATTCACCTCCAAGGTGGAGGGGCAGCATTTGCAGGGAGCACCAGGCTAACAACTTGCCATTTTACTGTCTGTCCTGCTACTGCTTCTGACAGCAGAGAGAGAAACCGTGTTTCATCCCCATATAATACGACCATTAGAAATTAAGAAGTGACAACAGGAAAAGACCGTACATTTACACCAAAGATAAAGTTGTAATAGCAACATTTGCCAGCAGTTTTATCTGTGAACAGCATGCCATAAATATAAAACTTCTGTTAAAAATGAGCAACACCCAGCTAAGTTAACCAGTTTGCTGTTTATGACAAGTCCTCTCCAGCCACACTATGCATTACTTAGTGTCATTTTTGCACAACAGGAAGCCACAAAGCATCACAAAATAAATGCAAGAAACAGAAGTTTCAACTTATTGTGGACTTTGTGCAAGATGCTTTTCTGCAGACAAAACCAAAATTAAACTGATAAGATTTACATACTTCGGGGGGGAATTCCAAGCTTAGGCTTTTCTCTATTATTACTATGAAGAAGTTGTGTAAGCTGGTGGATTCATTTCTTTCTCTAAAGTATTCACACAAAAAACCATTCTGGAAGAGGATATTCAAAACCAATTCAACTAACACCATTTCAAATTTTATCCATACTGAGAAAAAGACTTCAGAAGGTCGGTGTTTCTCTGGCCAATTCTGAAAACATTTCATTTGAGTTAACATTAAACAGGCGAGTTAACTTTGAAAGCCTCTATGGATGTCTTTCAGGAATGTATTAAATAGCTGATCACACCACAAACCTCTACCCCCCCCAAACGAAATGAGACAATCTGTTTAAATGCTTTAGGAGTTGCTACCTGATGAATATGTACCTGTACACTTGAAAGCCCAGTAGATCCATACGAAACAGGGTTGTTTTCTCAGCCTAGTTTCTTGCAGCTCTATGTCTGTGAACATCAGGTATTTCTGACATACGCAGAAATTGCCAGGTATTTTCCTGCATACCCCTGATGTGGTATATGGGTTACGCTGCCTACCCAGCACAATATACTATCACATCAGAGTGGTTCAAGTTGAGAGCAATTTAACTTCTCCCCCAGCAAGGCAGCATGTTTTCTGCATGGCTGTATACAGCTGGGTCCTTCCGAGTAAGTAAACTGAGCAAAAAACCAACAGGCTGTAGATAAACACACTGGTAAGCTCAGGGTCCAGAGCGTGTTTGCTATTAATAAATTTATTTTGCAACCAAAAGCCAGCACACATTTTCAAATAAAGATTCTGTAAATTTTTTAAACATCTATCAAATTAGGAAGGGGAAAGCAATTCTTCCACTTGCCCTCCTCCAAAATATGTCATGATTGTAGTGCTCTCAGCCCCACTCACAGTTTCTCTTGGCAGTCTGCATTGCCTCACCGTAAACTCAGAGACGTGCACTGGTGCCTGTGTCAGCTGACAGATGGATCTCAATCTGCCGACTTCTCACTGTGAGGAGGTGGTACCACGCCATATGCTTCAATTCGAAGCGTTATACTCGCACTAGCAAGAATTCACCATATTTAATATTAATTAACTAATAATGTTCAGAATTTCATGCTGAATTATAAATGAAGAAAGAAGTACTGCTTGTTTATACATTCAATGCCAGAATTTTTCAGGGAAGGAAATAAAAGCACTTCTGCCAACAAGCGTGTGAGCTGCCAGATGGACAGATAATAGATAAGCATAAAGCAGAGTATCACTAATGCAAAATTCGAGTTCATTAAATTGTCTTCCCGTTTCATTGACATTCTAGGAATAATTAATGCCAGAGTACTGTGGAAGGTTTTCTAACAGTTACTTTAAAATAAGAGTTTTGCAATCAGTATTCCAGAAAACTGAAGACTCCTGGGGAAAAATAAAGGCCATATATAAGAACAGAGACAAGAAATAAAGTAAAACCTCTCCAAACTGTCAATACAAAAAGCAACACTTGGATCTGTACTTGGAATTCAGCCTTTCCTTCTCTCCCTCCTTCACCTCCTCAAAGAGTCCCACGGGAAATATTTTGCTGATGTGAAGTAACTTCAATATGGATTCAAGAACTCCAAGTTTCTGGATGGCTGCTCTTGTAGCAGCACAAAACTGGCCTAATTCAAACATTTGAAATGTTTCTATGTATCATGTATTATTGCATTTCTCAGACACACGTTCTGGCAGTTCACAATACGAATCTTTCTGATCCCAGTGAAGATCTAAGAAGATTTCTCTAGCTCATTAATTTGAAGTTCAAAAAAAGGAAAATAAGTTAAAGAATATTCAACATGTTTGATGTCCTCTGCAGCTGTACTACAGTAACACTGTTCTTCTGAGGAGAGAATTGGGAATTTCACCTGTATTTCCAGTGCTTCTCAAAACTTTTTCAAAAATAGGTCAAAGACAAAGCACATGACAAAATGTTTTGTCTCAAACTTCCTACACATTTCTGTCATCAGGCCTCAGCAAAGCGACAGATGTGCTAGCCAAACAGAAGAAGAAAACTAAAAGGAGGAGAGGTTAGACAGAATAGGATCACATTCGCGTATCACACATGCAAACCTGCTCACGTGCATGGGCAGCTGCAGCGAGGACGGAATCAGACCCTTCTCGCAGGTGCACAGCCAACAGGCATGAGGAAACAGCCACAAGTTGCAGCCAAGGAAATTCCAGCATGACGGAAGTAAAAAATACCCAATGAGAGCAATTAAACTCTGCAACAAGCTGCCCAGAGAGGGTGCAGTGACTTCAGCCTCATAGACCTTGAAAATTCACCTGAACAATGCTCCGAGCAAGGGGACAGAGACTGGCCCTGCTCTGAGCAGAGGTGGGAGCAGGTGACATTTGGGGTCCCTTCCAACAAATATTGGTCTGTAAGTCTAAAAATCATCTTTCTGTGATATGATGCATAAAAGCTCCAAGATTTGAGCCAATTACCAAAGGACCAAAGTATGGCTAACTAAAAACCATACACAAAGAGGTATATATGCATGCACAGAATTTAACAGTGAGAAATCTGCTGTAGTGTGAGCTTCCACACAGTGTTACACCACGAGGGTGTTGAACCTCCTCCAGCAGGTTGGCTTTGCCAAATAGCGTGTTGCAACCAGACAGATCCTCCAACACAGCCCTCACAGCACAAGACTGTTGTGATCTGCAGGGTTACTTTGATATTA